TGGGTGGGGCTTAGCTGCATCGAAGCCTGCGATGCTGTATACTGTAGCCCATCATCAAAAGCCGCTGTAGGGAAGCAATGAAATGCAGACTCACTACACGTTCAATAGAAGGTTTGTGAATGTTTTCTCATGATCCTGCCTTTATCTACCCTCTCCCCTCAGGATCCCAGATATGAGGGTAGAAGGATGTGCTCTCGCCGAGCATTTTGAGGATTGCTACGTAGTTGCACATAGTATTTAGCGCATACGCGCAGAGCATTGGGTCACCTTATAGAAGCCTGTCATACTCGGCAAAAAGTAAAATGTGCGCACATACAAGGTGATCAGTCATTTTCGGTGATTTTTGTTCAATGAACTTTAAGGAGCAGAAAGTAACTTGAGATCAGGCCATTTTAGTGCTGGTCAGCGCAATCTGTTTTCCATTTTCATAGAAGAGTGCTTATCTGGTATCATTTCAGCTTTAAGAAGACTCTCTAAAGCCATGGTTGACCACTCTCAAGGGGCCCCCTCCGGGGTGTTCAGGGTAAAACAGGCCAAGGTACGCCATGATCTTTGCCACTGGGCTTGAGGCATCGAGCACGTGGCCAGACTTTAGCTAGGGTGTAGAAAATCAATACACTTACTCACTACGAAATGCTGCTAAATTAAGCCACGCGAAGCCAAATTGTTTGACATACCTCGAAGATATTGTGCGTGATTGCTAGAGAGTGTCGCACCGCTCCGAGGGTGCAGCTAAACTAGTTCCCGAGCGCCTTGCCTCTCTTCAGGGTCGAGGCCTGCTGGCTGAGGAACTGGATAGGGCTAGCTCTTGGAGAAAGACATAGAATAACCTTGTCCTCAGTATTGACTCCGTGGTTTGCGATGGTTGATCCTTCAAAGGCCTTCGGTGGAGCGACGCAGACGGCTTGCTCTGTATCCCTAAGGAATGGTACTCACCGACGCACATACCTCCTTCATATGGCACAGAGCATAATTATGCGGGTAGGTTACTCAGATATTTGAAGCTAAATCATCTTGTTCGTCTATGGAGCTTTATGTGTGGTGCCTAGGGCATTCTTCACGGTGTACAAACGGCTGTGTGTTTGCTAGAAGAAACGACATGGAGCATAATTCTCGAATAGTATATCAAAGTAGTCTATATTAGTGCAATTTCCTAGGGCGTGTGGTAGATTCGACTTGCTAATATACTGAGCTCACCATTGGGGGCCCCCTCAGAGACAATGGGGTCCCCCGAATAGGCACGAGGCCCCTGTCTACACTTTGCCTCCAGGATCTTCTGAGTATCTCCTACTGCATGCTTTTCTTCAAGTGCATGCATTTTGTTAGTTCGAATAGCAAGTGAAAATATGGGTTAAGTGTCTGATCTAGTGGTAACAAATCGATCTTTGTGGCTTCTATCTGGTACCCGTCGCTGCATTTAATTTCTTCCTGTCAGACCGTATCGATTGTAATTGAATACTTTCTTCGATTTCCAAGGGGAACGTCCTGCCCCCATGGGGGCCCCTGTAGGAATATCTACAAGGGGCATTTTGGGGGCCGTGAACCGCCGCTTCTTCTCGAGTTCTGCCATAGTAAGCCACGCCTGAACTTTTGCGCGAGTTTGTGTGTAGTTTGGGGATCCAAGTGGGTGTGGCGTATAGCAATTATCGGAAAAAGTGCCTCTGTATGCAGAGGAAGCCTAGTATTTCCTCTTTCTTTTCCTGACCAGTAAAGGGGACGTCTTCGCCCACAGTTGTAAAGCAACTAGGGTTTGGGGTATCGGGGTTACGGCTTCAGATTTTGTTGTGCGTCCAGGGGCGAGAAGCGCGGGCAGTGCCATGGGAACCCCGTGAACATCTTCTTCAAGCCAGGAAGGAACCGCGCTACATGGCTGAGTGTCAAGGTGCAGCTGCTGCTCTGAAAACTACTTTTCTTCTTGCTCCCACTCTTGATGCAGGTTTTTTGGCTGCAGTAGCTAGTGCGTTCGTATCCATTCTGACAGACTTGTGGCCATAGCACCGACTGAGTTCTAGGCCGTTATTGCAGGGAGGGCACAACACCGAAATCTAGAGCTTTGGGGCTGTATGCAGGGACACCGCGGCTGGAGTACCCAGAGAATATGATCGATGGTGTGCGGCTCCGCCCTACGTTTAACCCGTATGTAAAGCTTACCAGGGCCAAGAGATATGTCCTAGACAACTGGCCTTCCCGGTAAGGATTTGAGCTTAAGGCTGAGGTGGCCATTGAGAGAGGTCCCTAGCCTCAAAGACGAAAGCAGTTATCTTGAATAATCTACACATTCCAGTTCGATCTTCCTTGCTGATTTGGGACCAGTAAATTCTGTGGCTTTGTGTCGTTCAGAAACTGGGCTGATTGGAACCCATACACCTGCTTCGTGAGAGGAAGCCGGCGGCGATACCAGATTCCGAAGGACCTGTTGCCGTATAAAGATGAACTTGGAGAGTGGCATCCACCACGGTAGCTGCAGATTTTAAATTTAAGGCCCGAGCTCCCATTGCTATTGACTGGCTTACACAGATGGTCTGTGGGTGGAACAGAACTTGTGGCGATATGATTTGTACTTCATCCAGAGTAGGAGGATGCATAGGCTGTGGATTTTTGTTGTTTTGCTCTGCTTCAGACTCTCAGGGCGGTACAAAGCTGACGTGGAACGCCAGTACCGCCTGAATGGTATGTGTCAAGAGGAAAGTGGAAGGAAATCGTAACTATAGCACTACTGGGGACTAAAACAGCGGTTGTGGTGGCTAAGCACTGGGATCGAGTCACTCATAAGGGTTCAAGGGACTAAGGGTTTTGGGAGTCATTTCCTCAGGGTTTGTGTGCAGGGCTTGAGTGGGTATGGCTGAAGGACTTTTACAAGGAGAAGAGGCACATCCGAGATAGAGAGCCGCTGGGTCCAAAAAAATGGTATATCAGGGAATACAGGTAGGCTGGAAAAAGCCACAAAAAGCAACCGCGGAAACAGCTTATTAATCAGACCAATAATAACCGATATATAAATTGAGCAGTGGCCCACCTGAACAGTGAAGGGCAAGGAGACTCGTTTTGGCGCCGCAGTGTGCGTTCACCCACCATTAGGCTGCCCTACTCACTCACCGCATACCACTGAGTGCTTAAGGGTGACATTGGAGAGTGTGTGATTACCGTCTCTCACAGACAGCAACAGGTAAAGGAAGCCATGAGGAAAATGGACGACCTAGTAGCGGATTACCGCAAGGTAAGTATTTTTTCGAGGGCAAGGCTTAGTTACGAAGGATAGAATCCACTGTTTTAATGATGAAGTACAGGAGCAATGTTTCACAACATTGTCAGAGAAGCGCGCTTTGCTTTTACTACTGGACTAAATTGGGTGTACGTTGATTTTTGCTGTTGCTACTACAGGAGGTACGGGATAAACAGCGCTACAATTGGTTTGAGCGCGTAGTGCACGATTTTGCCGGCGAGCAGCTCTCCTCTGAGTACCTCAGAAGTCGGAAGGAACCAAAAATGTGATTGGCCTCTACCAGATGAGGTAATGAAACGGTAGAGGATTATGCGGGACAGCCAGTATAAGCCCTTAGATCAACATCTCTGGAATAGCAGTAGCTCAAAAGATTATGAACAGCTGGTTGTGGCCCTGCTGAACACTGAGAGCACCGTGGTGGGGAACTTAGATTTCGAGACAGCTGCGAGAGCCCATAGTCGAAGGATGCAGGGCCACAGGGAGATTAAGGAGGGAGCTTTCTGAACTTTTCCTTATGTGCTACCCGTGATAAATTTTCTGCCCAATTCAGTTTGTTAATAACAAGTGATGGAACCTTTATCCTAATATCTTGAACTAGGAGGACTTCCCAGTAATCTTCACATAGACTAGGAGCGGAAAGGTGCTCCTCTGATGCTTAAACCAGATACGGCACATCAGGCCGCTGGTGGCCACATCACGGTCTCAAGATCACCTGCTCTGGGGCCTTCGCTGGACTTTTTACAGCCGGGGAATCGTAGTCCCTCAATGCAGGATTAGGAGCATCGCTGATTCAGTGTATAGGCAATAGAACATCGAAAGGACTTAGGTGGCCTGACGTGAACGATAGCGAATCCAAAACACTTTTCGAAAGGCTCGAAGAGCGCCTGTGGGAAGACAGTGGGCACGATGCAACCAGGAACGCGAGGTATCATGCCCTGCGAACTGGTTTTAAGGAACGACTGAACTACAAAACACTTCAACCAGCCTAGTCAGAGGAAAGTAACGAACTGTGATTCCAGAGGGTTTGAGTTACGTGGACAGTGGTAATGGAGTGGGTATGTACGCATGCTACAAGGATGGAAGTCTTTTGTTTCCGCCCTGAGGCAAAGTGTGCTACAATTAGGAATGTATTGCTCCTTCATCTTGTCTGGGCGAGCCAGTGTAAGGCGTGTGCGTGTTCGTCTATGACAATTGTAGGCCTCACTCCTCCGATGCTGCCATTGCACACATCTAACAGTGTTTCAGACAACGCCCACACAGTGGTCCGGCAGACAAAACCAACTAGTCAATTTTATACTAATATTCAGTTCGGTAAGACTTGTGGGGCAAAACGTCATCACATATAGCTCAATCTGCTACATCTTCTGGTTTAAAGCCTATTTCCTTGCATTCCGTACCTATCAAGACCAACTGCGTGCAGGATAGTGCAGGGATTCCCGTCCTATCACCACTCCCCAAGCAAGCGTAAACGCGAAAACAGTGCCATGAGGAACGCAAATCTGCGCATTGAATGGCAGAAGGGAGTCAAAGGGAAGAAGAGCACACGGTAGCCAAAAACAAGTGAGGGACCAAACCAACACGACCGCTACGGCTCAATGGCTTGCTGCTGTTGGAGAACTGAAATATGCAGGCCTCCTGCTGGGACAAACCAGAAGGCAAGTAAACTTTATAGAAGAAATCAAAATACACACCACTTAGGCAGTGCCATGAGGAATTCATGCAGCAGTCTCCGCATGCAAATACAGCCGGTCTGCGCAGCCTAGTGGACGTGAGTGCCCCTGTACAGGCATAAGGAAGAACGCTCAGGAAGCATACCTAGTAGCGCCTGCCATACGTTGAAGCATATAAAACACCATAACAATCATAACTAAATGTCTTTAAAAATATCCTTGCATTAAATTGGAACCTCTGGGCAGAGCGTGGATGAGGGCATATTTGCCAAGGCACGCAAAGAGCATTCATCCAGGACGACTAACATTGCCACCCTAAAGGAGCCGCAAATTCTCCCGCACTCAATGAAACCAGCTGGTGCTCCTCCACTAACCACTAGGGCTCAAGATCTCCAGTTCACTCCACTAGAAGCAGTCATTGATATGCTATCGGCACTCAGCATTCCTAAATTCCAACACTTCCACGGCTGCCTGTAAACCCCCTTCCTCCCCACAGGCCACGTACGTGCACAACAAAGTCCGCGCATAC